GTCTAAAACGTATCCGACTCATGCAGCGATTATGAAAACTGGACTTCCTGGATTGAATTTCAACATCTTACCAATACCTGTGGGGATTTGCCCACACCAAAGTGATCTGTTGCATGTTCTACTACACGTTTAATAATTAAAATTTAGCAATATGCAGAAAACATACTGGGCTGTCAGGATTTTTCCAAAATGCTAGATCACACACTTTCTACTCGAGCCAAAACAGAACAACTTTGAAAAACACGTCCTTTAAACTTTTAAAAAAGCCTGTGAAATTAAAAAATAAATGGGGAAAACATGCCCCAGTGACTAGGAGTAGGCTTTTTTGCATTTTGCCCAACTTATTTGTTGAGTTGTCAAATATTCATGCATGCTGTGACAACTGTCCCCACCGGCTCACCAAAGGCAGCTTATGGGAGTCTATGACCAGAGAAGTATTTACACAATTTGATGCTGTGTAAATAGCACAGGAGAAAATGTTGGCACCATAGCCCAGGGGTAGAAGAAAATGCCTACTGCATTGTACCTTAAATAATTCAACAACTGTGTGGGTGGGGGTGAACACAAAAGCATTATATACACCTTTCCATTTAAAGTGAATATTATAAACCTTACAAGACACAGTTTGCTGTCATCTGATTTTCACTGAGACTTCAAAGCCTGCCCCTGTCTGCAACACACAGGTGTTTCAGCAGTGTCTTTCAGTCACCCATATCACACATCTGGCTCTTCCATTTTTATCAATGGCTCCACAGGCTGTGTAATCGCTTGCGCTTTATGCACAGAAGCGCAACATCATGATAACTTTTATGTGTCAAGGAGGAGGATTGAAGCTGCTGCTGCTGCATTCACTACGCAGCCTTTGTTACTGAGTGTAACAGCACAAACACCTGTGGACTGCGACTGGTGGTTGGTAATTGAGGCCTGCAAACTTGTAGCTCTCAAATTCCATGGATCGCACCCCAAGAAGAGGAGGATTCACTTCATACTAAAAGGGACTGAAAGAACATGATGATTTTTATTATTGAAATGCTTTAGCATGTACACATGCTAACTACGGAGAGATTAGCCCAGCCAGGGGGAACGTTTAATTAAATCAGCCATTGCTGTGCAATGCCAGGGGTCAGCACACCTGGGTCCCTGCCTCTTTCTGCTGCCTGGCACACCATGCACCCAACCCTGATGTCTGTCCCTGTGGGTGGTGGGCCTACAGGGTGGCTGCTCCATGTTGTTGTTTTAATAGATTATTCTGGGGCTTTTTTTTTTTGCCTTTATTGATAGGACAGGTGTTGATAGACAAGGAAGGTGTGAGAGAGAGGAGGAATGACATGCAGCAAAGGGCTGTGGGCTGGAATTAAAGCCAGTATTCTGCAGGGACTCAGCCTCTATGGGGCTAGAGGTCTCCCCAGCTCCATGTTGTTTATTTGGGCTGAGCCTGAGCGGGCCTCATAGCCCAAGGACCAGCCACTAGACACTCACCATTGAGTTCTCTCACTGGTCTGACTCCAAAGTGGGGAAGCGGTTTCCTCAAACTGGGCAAAGTACTCCAGCTCCTTTTGCCAAGTTCATTAGGGTTTACTGAATCGCTCTTAGTGTTGCCCCTCCCCAGGGTAAAATATGAGGGTAAAATGGAGTGTGAAATGGACAGGTGGTGTGGTGTGCATCAGCAGTGATGCAAGTGTTGCACCGGACCATTGTGGTAAAGAAGAAGCTGAGCCGGAAGACAAAGCTCTTGATTTAGTGGTCTATCTACGTACTGACCCTCACCTATGGTCATGAGCTTTGGGTAGTGACCGAAAGATATAAGCAGCTAAAATGATTTTCCTCCAGAGAGTGGCTGGGCTAAGCCTTAGAGACAGGGTGAGGAGCCGAGACATCTGGAGGAAACTTGGAGCTACTACTCCTTTGTGTCGAAAGGGGCCAGTTGAGGTGGTTCAGGCATTTAATCAGGATGCCTCCTGTGCACCTCCCCTTTGAGATTTTACAGGCATGTCCAACTGGTATGAAGCCCCAGGGGCAGACCCAGAACACGCTGGAGGGAATATTTATCTCGTCTGGCCTGGGAATACCTCATGATCTCCCAGGAGGAGCTGGAAAACATTGCTGGGGAGAGGGACGTCTGGACTACCTTGCTCAGCCTGCTGCCCCTATGACCCAGTGCTGGATGAGCGGATGGAAATGGATAGATGGATGAATAGAGTCATTGCTGTGGTCGTGTCAGCTGTTTTTTCGTTTGCCTTCCAACAGCCATGGCCTACTGTGTTATCACAACTTCAGTTGGATAACAGTTTCAAGTTGACACACACTTAGTGGAGCCCTGCTTATCTGAGCATTAAGAAACACTAATGCAACCATTGACTTTGAATTAATTAAGAGCAGATGTTATCATGAAATATATACTATATGTGCACTGCTCTGTGGGATCGATCTGAAGATTTGGAGCAATCTGAATGAAATCACTATACAGACAGAGGAAACATATCATTCTGCAAGGCCTGTCACCAGTTATCAGCAGCTGAAAACAAGTGTATAAATGTGTTTGATTTAATTCAACTCAAACTATTCTTATTGAGAGAAATGAAGAGAAGTAATCTGTCAGTTAATTAGACAACTTCGCCCCAGCAAAGAATTTAAAGCCCTCTCCCCAACATGACCATCAGTTAGGCCCCTATATCCTTACACTGTGAATAACTTTTAAAAGCACAATATATGCAATGACAGCATGTCTCCTGTATATGAACTGTGCACTCAGTTGCCAGAAATGACTGACATTTTTCATATTCATTTCTGAGACTCCCTATACGTCCACATGTCCACACTGGCCAACATCTTTGGCAGTTTACCTGTCAGTCACAAACTCGGCATACTCTGAAAATTTTCGACAAAAATATCCTGCTGTGCAGAGGCCCGTTTCTGACTGACAGCTCTCACAATCACCATGGGCACAGAAACAGGAGATGAAAAACCAAAAAGAAAAACGCTGCCTCAGCCTTGGAGTGAAAAAAAAAAAAAAAAGGTTTCCATCAGGGAGATAAGCAGCCTTGTATTTATACCAAAGTGCATCTTCCTGTCTATCTCATCTCCATGTGCTAATGAAACAGCCGGCTGATCAAGACCCCCGTCTCATCTGCTAATAGAAGAGCGACTTAAGCTGGATCCTCTCCTTCCCTGGCTTTGTACCGTTTCCTCCGAGGGAAATGCAGTGTGAAATGAAGAGCAACGTGCCCACTCATGCTCCCTCCAGAGACTGGGTATTTTGGTGATAATGGATTTGTCATCTTGCAATACCAGGACTGGCTTGGGCACGCTTCTCTCCCATTGTGACTTGGGAGTTATTAGTGGGAGGCATGCCCACCGGGGCTCAGGTGCTGATTACATTACATGCACGTACAGAGTTTACTGTGTTAAAGATTAATTGCGGGATTTTTCAACGTGGACCCTATTTTCCCATGTTTTTGTGTCTAAGTGACTAATGGGAACAACACTTTTTTTGAAACTGGTTAAGTATTGAGCGAGAGGGCTGCAGCCAGCAGCCACACATCAGGTTTTAATGTAACAATTAGGGGTGTATTTGCTCCGTCAATTTACGTCCACTACCAGTGTTTGTTTTTGCCACTAACATTTTCAGATTACTATTCTAAGTGTCTGACAACATTATGAAAAGGATCCCCACTAAAACAGACCATTTTGTTGAAGAGTTAGATCCTTGTTGTTAAACCAGAAACAGCCCGGAAATCACTATCGCCAAACCCACCAGACTCCATTTAAATAATGAGTAATTTTATCATCGTAAAACACACTTTATTCAAAGTTGACAGAAACAAAATAAAACTCACAAAAACCATCTTGGTTTGTCTTTTCAGTATTCCAACCATCCCCAGCTCTGGTTTGGTTGAAAGAGACCTGTAATTTACCCAGTTAGATGTGAAAATATCGGAAGAGGAGCAAGAAGGAGACCCAACATCAGAGAAGCAGCAGGGGAAAACAATGTGTACAGCCAGCATAATTTCACGTATTAGGCGACAGGGATTTGGGGCTGTTTCTGGTTAAACAAAAATAATCCTACTCTTTAACAAAAAGGTTTGTCTCTGGGGTGCTGAGTAGCTCACCTGGTACAGCAGGTGACCCATGAACAAGGGCTGTGTCCTTGCCTCAGCAGCCGCAGGTTCCATTCCAAACTGTAGCCCTTTGCTACAAGTCTCTCTCCCCCTTTCACGCTACCACTGTCCTGTCAAATAAAGGTCAAAAAGCTCCCCAAAAATCTTAGAATAAAAGGTCTGTCTCTGTCAGGATCCTTTCCCTGATTATGTAGTCCCTGAGAATGTTTTCAGGGACTTATACTAACAATCTGAGCCTGTCAGTGGCAAAAACAAGCATTCTTAGTGGATGTAAATTGAAGATGCATTTTTTACCCAAAGTGGTTACACAGCAGCCTCTTTCACAATAGGGTCCAGGTTTAAAAATACCAGTTACTCTCTAATGTCATCCAACCAGAATCACGTATGTATGTCAGCACTGATCCTAATCAAGTCAAGTCAATTTTATTTGTATATCATGAATCAAAAATTTGCATCACGAGGCATAACAATCTGTGCAGCATACAAAACCCTCTGTCCTCAGACCCTCGCTCTAGATAAGGAAAAACTCCGACAACTCCCCCCTAAAAAAACCTAAACAAGGAAGAATGGAAGAAACGAGCGACTGAGCAGGGATCCCTCTCCCTCAACAGACTGACGTTGTGTGTACTGAACAGACCGACATAATAAAATTACAACATAGACAATCCATGTGACAGAATTATACATAGAATAACAACATTATACATATCCTCTATCTGTGTGATTGCTAATCCAACATGGAGGATCAGCTATACAATACACATTGTTCCACACCACTCTCCACACTCACCTCATTATCATTCTCTATCCATAGCAGCACACACACAACACATGCTCTGCAGAGGGTAAACATTGGAAAGATTTTCATCCACCAAATCTTACTTTTTGGCAAGAGCCCTCCTCTCTTCTGGAGTATAATCAAGAGATCCTATTGCTCCCTCTCCTTTTGTTGGCATGAATCCGATTATGGCTATTAGAGCGGTTCGGACTGGAAAAGAAACAGACAAGAGGAGAGAAAACAAAGAGGAGGTGAGAAAAATTAAAATCACAGCACATTCAACATTCCTGGGTAAAAGGGAGAAGGTTAAATCACACGACAGGCTGCACATGTCGTCATGTTCAGTGCCCATGTTACATAAGTGGGAATGATGCTTTGTTTTGCGGGCATAAGCCTGGATTTACCCTGGCCTATGTGAGGACATCCACCATGTGTCTGTACTCACACATTCTCCAGCTGGCACAGGACACGTTTTACAATATGGTCAGGGTCAAGGGTTTGTTTGTCTATGTTATGACTGGCTGTGTTCGTCTGTGCTCCAGTCTATCCAATATACTGAATGAAGGATCTGGAAGCCCATTATACGTGGCTGTCTAAGCCTACTTTAAAGGTTATCCACATTGGATTTTATCATAATAACTACCAAACACTGACACTGATAACATAGCGCTATTTAGAGCGCATGCGCCCGCGCGTGCAGCCTGTTGCAGTCGCTCCTGCTTGTTTTCTCGGTTTTCTTACTTTTTTGCTTTATTAAGTTTGGTATTTGTGCTGGCTTTTTGTGATTGTAATTTTGGAACTGCGCCCTCTCAAAACATGCTGATTGAGAGAGTTGTACTCGTTTTCCTCACCCTGGAATTACTTATTTCATTCGGACCCGGCACCATTGCGCAACAACTTCATGGCCGCATTGTTTACTCCAGAGATCAGCTGATCGCGCTGAGGCCGGCCGGCTTGGCGGCCGGAACATCGGAGATACCAGCTGAACTGTGGAGGAAAACACACAGAGGATGCAGGGGAGGAAGTAAACAGCGGCGGAAAAAAGCAGGGTTGAGACAACGGAGGCTTATGGAGAAGAGAAGATATAAGCCGTGTCTCCCCTCTCTCATCATGGGCAACGTGAGGTCACTGGCAAATAAGATGGACGAGCTGACAGCGGTCGCCAAAAGTCAGAAGGAGTACCGGGAATGTAGTCTTATGTGCTTCACTGAGACATGGCTTCACCAGGACATTCCCGACACCAACGTCTCCATCAGCGGCTTTCAGACTGTTCGGGCCGACCGGGACTGCACCGAGAGCGGTAAGCGCAAAGGAGGGGGGCTTGCTGTTCTAGTAAATAACCGCTGGTGCAGTCCTGACCATATTTCCATTAAGGAACGTATCTGTTGCCCGGACATTGAACTGTTCGCTGTTGGACTCAGGCCGTATTATTTGCCCAGGGAGTTTTCACATGCCATTATTGTAACTGTTTACATCCCCCCCTCTGCCAACCCGACGTCGGCATGTGATGTCATTCACTCCGCCATAGCCCGCCTGCAGACTAAACACCCGAGTGCCTTCATAGCTATCTCGGGTGACTTCAACCATGTCACCATGGCAACAACATTGCCCACATTCACACAGTATGTGAGCTGTCCTACCAGAGAGGAGAGGACACTGGACTTGCTGTATGCAAACGCCAAAGATGCATACAGCTGCTCCCCCCTCCCCCCTCTGGGTAGGTCAGACCACAGCCTGGTGCACCTCAACCCCTGCTATGTACCACTAGTCAAGAGCCAGCCTGCGACCATGAGGACAGTGAGGAGATGGTCGGAGGAGACTTATGAGACACTGCAGGGCTGTTTTGGGGTGACAGACTGGCAGGCACTCTGTGAGCCACATGGGGAGGACATCGACGGGCTCACAGAATGCATCACAGACTACATCAGTTTCTGTGTGGACTCCACTGTCCCAGCCAGGACTGTCCATTGTTATCCAAATAACAAACCGTGGGTAACAAAGGACATCAAAGCCATCCTCAATGCAAAGAAGAGGGCCTTCAGAGCTGGTAACAGGGAGGAGGTGAGAACAATACAGGGGGAGCTGAAGATGAAGATCAGGGAGGCTAAGGAGAGGTACAGGAGGAAGCTGGAGAGGAAACTCCAGCAGAACAACGTGAGAGAGGTCTGGAGTGGAATGAGGACCATCACTGGCTTCAGGACCAACAACCACAGAGGAGTTGAAGGCAGCATGGACAGGGCCAATGAACTGAATCTGTTTTTTAACAGATTTGACACTGCTGGCCCTGCCCATCCCCCCCCTGACTCTTCTGCTGTCTGTCTTGGTCAACCATCTCCCACTCTGCCCTCCTCCCCCACTCCTCCCTCTCACACCTCAACACCCTCCTGCTTGACCCCCCCTCCTCCTCCTCCTCCTCACACCTCATCCCCCCGTGGTCAGACTGACTGCTCTCTCCATCATGAGGACTACACCCCTCCCCCACGTGTCGTCACCTCCACAATGTGCTTCACTGCTGACCATGTGAGAAGACAGCTGATGAGACTCCACTCAAATAAGGCTGCAGGCCCTGATGGTGTCAGCCCCAGGGTGCTCAAAGCCTGTGCCCCCCAGCTATGTGGAGTACTTCAGCATGTCTTCAACATGAGCCTGAGTCTCCAGAGGGTCCCCTTGCTGTGGAAGACATCCTGCCTTGTTCCTGTGCCAAAGACGTCACGTCCCAGTGGCTCCAAGGACTACAGACCCGTGGCATTGACCTCCCACATCATGAAGACCCTGGAGAGACTCGTCTTGGAGCAGCTCCGGCCCATGGTCAAGCCACTTTTGGACCCCCTCCAGTTCGCCTATCAGCCCCGACTTGGAGTTGAGGACGCCATCATCTACCTGCTCAACCGCGTCTACGCCCATTTGGATAAGCCGGCGAGCACTGTGAGGGTCATGTTTTTTGACTTCTCTAGTGCATTCAACACCATCCGTCCAGCTCTACTGGGTGACAAGCTGACAGCAATGCAGGTGGATGCCCCCCTGGTGTCCTGGATTGTAGACTACTTGACTGGCAGACCACAGTATGTGCGCTTGCAACGCTGTGTGTCAGACAGAGTGGTCAGCAATACCGGGGCCCCGCAGGGGACTGTCCTCTCTCCCTTCCTCTTCACCCTCTACACCACGGACTTCAGCTATTGCACTGAGACCTGCCATCTTCAGAAGTTTTCTGATGACTCTGCTATAGTTGGATGTATCACCAAGGGTGATGAGGATGAGTACAGGGCTGTTGTGGATAACTTTGTCACATGGTGTGAGCAGAACCATCTGCAGCTCAACGTGGCAAAGACAAAGGAACTGGCTGTGGATCTGAGGAGGACCAAGACATCGGTGACCCCTGTTTCCATCCAAGGGGTCAGTGTGGACATTGTAGAGGACTATAAGTACCTGGGGGTACACATTGACAGTAAACTGGACTGGGTTAAGAACACTAACGCTCTCTACAGGAAGGGCCAGAGCCGTCTCTATTTTCTGAGGCGACTGAGGTCCTTCAACATCTGCCGGACTATGCTGAGGATTTTCTATGAGTCTGTGGTGGCCAGTGCTATCCTCTATGCTGTTGTGTGCTGGGGCAGCAGGCTGAGGGTGGCGGACGCCAACAGACTTAACAAACTGATCCGCAAGGCCAGTGACGTTGTGGGAACGGAGTGTGACTCTCTGATGGTGGTGTCAGAGAGGAGGATGCTGTCTAAGCTACGAACTGTCTTGGACAATGTCTCACACCCACTCCACCATGTGCTGGTCAGGCACAAGAGTACTTTCAGTGGGAGACTCATACCACCAAGATGTACCACTGAGCGCCACAGGAAATCATTCCTGCCTGTGGCCATCAAACTGTACAACTCCTCCCTCTGAGTGGCCCTGAGACTTTCACACACTGCAATAACTTAATTTAACTTGTGCAATAACCCCGTTCACCCTGACTGTATATATTCTGTTTGTGTAAATTTTGTTTACAATATATATATATATATGTGTATATATATAATTTACGTTTATGTTTGTTAATAATTCCTGTTTATTTAACTATATATTTGTTAATACTATTGTTTAAATTTCTTATATTTTCATGTATCTTTCCTGTCTTGCAAGGAGCACCTGTAACATAAATAATTTCCCCTCGGGGATCAATAAAGTATTTCTGATTCTGATTCTGATTACATGTACACTATTATTCCATGTTTGAGTGACACAGCCCTTTAGACACAGCACCATTTGGGTTAATTATTCAAATTCCCTTTTCAGCTTTTATTTTATTTGCTCTGTGTTTGATTTTTGTTTCCTGTTTCCGCCTGCAATGACACATGTTCAGTCACACAGAAGTGATGTCCCACATGGCAACAGCTTCATGGCAACATACACTAAAAGCAACTGTGGATCACATTTTTGTTAAGTCCATACAAACTGCACTCAGTGAATTATTAGTATTACATCTGCATGACAGTTGATTTGTTTTTGCATTTTTATTTTTCATTATTTTTACATGGAACTGGTTGGCTTCCTGTATATATGATTGTAACAACATCCAGGTTTCGGATAGTTGTGTTTTTTTGTTGTTGTTTTTTTTGTTGCATGTTTCAACTGTTTTTGTCACTAATGGGGCCCTATCTTATACCCAGTGCAAAGGGGTGCAACTGTCATTGCTAGGTTGTCAGACCAACGCAGCTGATTTTCAAAGCCAGAGCCCAGGATGTGTTAATAGCAAATAGGCTGCATCCTGCTCTGATGGGCGTGTACATCTTAGAATGACATGTGGTCAGGCGCATTGTTGGCATATTGCTATGTTGAGGCAGCAGAAAGTGATCGCGCCACTGACCAACAAAAAAACCTAGTCTAAAGTCAGAATGATGCAGTATTTTCCTGCTATTTTAAGTGCGTATCATTCAGATAGTAAGATGCACCTACACAGACAGGTTCATAACTTACACTCTGCTTCTTACACACACACACACACACACACACAGGGATGTGCAGATGGGTTGCGGCTGGGTGAAACAATGTAAACATAGCAGAGAGACGCTGTGTACATTACATTTAAACACAAGTAACAGTGTAACTTCACTAATTATTTCAGAAGCTAAAAGTTAAGTTCTGTTTCTTCTGTCAAGTTCATGACTACAGTTTTTAGTTTTGCTACGTAAATGTCCCATGATTTTTGCCTCAGTGATGTCACTGCTCTTACTGCATTACTCTCAGCAGAAAATTGCTTGCTTCTCCAATTTGCAGAATCCACCATGGAAATAGCAGAGGGTCATTTGCAGGCGCACCTGGCTTTTGAAGGGAGTTGGAGATGACACTCTGATAAGTTGAATTCATGTTATGCCCAAACAACACCGATGTTTAATTAAAAGACTAAATACAACCCATTTGCTCCTTGTGCCTTACTTTGCACTCAGATTATCGCAGTTTAACAAAGGTGGAGTTGGACACACCCTAAATACACTTGCGCCATGCAGTACAAATTGTTTTAATCGGGCACATGGACTGAGAGTCTGTGCTTTATGAATGGAACTTGTAATCAATTAAATAAGTCGGTAGGCTTGGCTGGTATCACAATATTACGGTATATTGGGTACTCTATATAGTGCACAGAATGTGCCACCAAAGGACAATCTCCAGCCTCTACTGGTAGAACAGGCAGCTGGTGGTGGTGGGGATAACGTTACAGGACTGTACAAAGCCAGCCTCCAACAGCAGAGAGAGAGATACCATGGGAAAAACAGCATATTTTCACATCTAACTCAGTCAGTTAGGGGTTTATTTCGACCAAACCAGAGCAGGTGATTTTTGGAAGAATTGACTAACTAAGCCAATAACAAGACTAACTAAGACAGTTTTGGTGAATTTGTTTCTGTCAAGTCTGAATGAAGTATGTTTAACCGTGAGCTAAAACGGCAATTAGGCCAGTCGTAGTTTGGTGAGGGAGAGAAACTTGAATTCAAAAGAAGTACTGTTGAATTCCTCTGTTCAGTAAGGAAAATAAAAAAATATACCTCTCTTAACATTTTGTGAGTTTCAATTGTGTATTTATTATAGCGTAAAAGGTGAGAGAACTTGGGGAAAGTAGTGAACTCATCTAATGTGACACAACCCCGTCATATACTGTGTACCCTAGTGAAATTACAGGAAGGTATGAAAGAATTAGAAATTAGACATTGCCCAAGCCTATCAGTCAGTGACACAGAGTACACTGTTTAGATCAGGTGTGTCTTTGATTTCCTAACATCTCAGCCTATCATTTCTGTATTGACTGTAATGTAACAAATTGAGACAATGTGACTCAATGTAAGGAAGCACCTTTTTACAGGAAGGTTTTTATATACCACAGAATCAGAATATCCCAGGTAGCATATTCAGGGTTATAAAGACTGGGATAAGAGCTCATTCATATAATGGTTACTTGCACAAACACATAACCAGGATGCTCAAAAACCTGATTATAACCTCCTGGTAAGGACTTTTATGTCCATGTAAGAGCACTCATTTGCCATTAGCATGAGCACATTTTAGTTGTTCCAGCTCATCACTTCTCCATTATGGTAACTTACAATCATAATGGAATGACCTTATTAGAATTCATATGAGAAGCACGGACACACTGACATCACCATTACAGTGCCAAATTAGACATAATATGATAGCATTTAAAATGAACTATGGGGCATTTGAATTGATTCTTTTTCATTACAAATAATGTATTTTACCTTTAACAAATCTTTCACAGTAAAATACTGATAACTTATACAACTGCAGCATCTACACTACCAATTTATATCTGTTGCAAATACCCTCTGTTTGGCGTGACAGGTGTTTTTCAACAACATATCCCCTTTTAAAACTGAGCTGATGGACTGTGAATATCAGTGCTCTACACACCTTGCCATGTTACGTAGGGGCAGTGTGGTCTGATAGAAAAACCCATTATATAAATGAGACTTCACTCAGTGTCATTTAAATTAAGTAACCAGAAAAATCAAAGTGAGAGCAGAAAGTAACTAATTTCCATCAGTGAAGTTAAGTGAGCACTCTTCAATCAAGACAGTGAGAAGCAGCAGAACATTTTACTTTGATAACAGCAGTAAGTCTGTTAGGACGAGTCTTTCCAGCTCACACTTTCCAACTTTTGAGTCTTCTTCGGTTCGGAAAATGATAAATAGATCTGTGTATGTGTGTGTATACTCGCCATTCCTCCTTTTAGACAATTTATGTGAATGTAACTAAAAAAATGCAAGGCAAAACTCATTGTGGACTGAACATTAAAATACTGCAATTCTTATTTTCAGATACAAACAGACCAGGAAAACAGCCTGTGAAAACATATTCATAAATAAGTATATATACATTCATAAATGGAACTAAATAACCTGGAATATGTAAAATCTTCTTCAAAGTGACATCAGAGGGAATGTTTGAATTACTTAGCCACATTTTATTAAATATTTAGGCGTAGCATATGAGCTAAAGCGGCAGCCAACAATAGTGAGCTGGAATCCCTGCAGCTGGCCTGCCTGTGACGTGCAGAGCTCACTGCAATTATCCAGCCAGGCTTCCTGGGGTCATTCCAAAAAGGATGAGATGCAACGTTTACACAACACTGTAAGAACCCAGCAGGGGAAGCCAAATCTCTCAGGCATGGCCAGCCATGTGACCTGCATGAGTCAGTTAAGAGCAACCTTTGTCTTTATTCTGTTATTGATTTAAAACTTTATGTGTAATGGGAGGAAACCAGTAGGAGAAAAATGCTTTGAGGAAAGTGCACTGTCTCCTACTGAGTTTCCTCTGATAAAGTGCTAGGGAAGAAAGAAGAAAGCAGAGCTCAGCAAAAGGACGGATCGCCAGCAGAGAACTAAAATGAGTTCTCAGTAGAAAGAAATTATTAGTTATGACTCCGGGAGGTAGGAGAATCTGCCCTGCTGCAGATGAAGAGGTTTATCTTGATCAGGCACTCAATATGTATTGATTGCTTTGCATATATATACAATATATACATATACAATATACAATTTGCAACCCTAAAATCAGAGCAAAAAGTTTCAGAAAATCAACATAATTTGTATTGGTTCAGTGACTGTTTTTTTGGTGTTTTCGCATATTTTCAACTTATTACAGAATTTGAAGATTTTAGCTGATCCATGTTGTGCTACAGTTACAGACTGTCACGTGTCCTTAAGTCTGAAGGTTTTCATTCCAACCAAGGAGTACAGAAACCCAACTCCCTGTTTAAAGGTGTGATACTTGTCAAATTGTCAGAGAGCAGGGCCTGTGTTTACCTCAACTGCAGACAGGCCTTTATTTGAAACGTGCTTTATTTAGTTCCCCCTGTTTTATAAAAATATCATTTCATATTTTAGTGAGAAGTCTCTCTGTTTTCTAAACAGCTCCTGATTTATAATTTGCTGTTTGTGCTGGTTGATCTCAATACAAAGCTATCATAATGTACATTTCAACAGCACTTATACAATCAGTACGACAACTCTTCTACTCTGAGCTTATCCTTAACTCACAAGGTTCACAGATAAAACAATGGTTTTGTACTAGACACGTTTTCCCCACATATACAACATGCTAACGTTATTAACATAAGCCAGTAACATTTGCATAAATTTGTCACGCAGCTAGTGGACTTCATCTACTCATATGAAGCCGGGATAAATCACACACAAGACTCCAAATGCTATTTTGTGGAGGCTTCATTGTCTTCACACTTTATTGTTTCTCACTTGTGAAATAAAGGTAAATAAAAGCTTAGTTTTCAGTTTACAAAAATAAACAGGAGGTCTGTGTTGCTGTGACTTGTAGTTACTTTTCTAGGGACGTGCTATGAGGTCAGGCCATAGCGTAGGTATGGCGTTGAATTTATGCAGAAGCATACAACCCTCTTTATGGGCAGTCTCATCTGTTTTTTGGATTTGCTCACAAAACCATGACTGTTTTTTTAATCATGATTCACAAAGATACCCCCTTAGATTTTTGCTCCTAGTACTGCTGGCATGGCTGAAACCATGACAAAACCTTCCTGCAGATTTTCAAATGACTTTTTCCTGACTGCTGATAAATTCTCAAATGACCATCATATACTGGGAAATATGTTCAACTTAGCAGTGTTACAATATATTGACATTTAGATGGAATAATCATGCGCAACAACAAAAATCTAAGGAGGGAGGGGGATTTGTATTCTGATACCGATGTAGTATCTTCCTTCAATAGATGCTCAGTCCAAATGTTTTCAGGGAGCCCCCTTCAGTCACTTCCATTTACTTCAGTGTGCAGCAGAGTGGTCATTGTAGCATGCCTCTGTTGTTGTACTGATGCAAGTAGTGCTGTGAAAATGTGCATTATGCTGAATGTACCATGTGAGCCATTAGAGTGCCGATAATTGCACCCAACTGTCTGTGCTGACCACACCTCCCACTATTATTGAAGAACCCTGTCATTATCTGAATACCAGCTGTTATTAGAGAATTATGGTAATGCGATTTATGATAATAATGGACAGCAGTGTCCCTGTCATTCAGAAGAATAACTGTGCATGTACACCTACGAACAGAACATCAATGTTTTTCCATAATTCTGATGCAAATTCCTGTGATTGATAACATTTTCAAGCTCTACAAATGATGACTCATTCTTAATAGGTTTCCAGACTCTTTGGACTACACCAAAACAGTGACTCGTAGTTGGAGAAATAACTAATTAGACAAACTCAGGGCATGAGCTTTGAGGTTACTTACTGCTCCAAGAGGGCTGCCAGGTCTCTGGATGGTGGCCAGAGATGCTCAGGCAAATTTTCTTCCCAACTTCAAATCTTCCATTCGGCTGGGAGGGAAGGCAATAAAAAGAAGGTGGAGGTGAGCATGTGGGTGGAGATAAATTAATAAAACATGCATTCTCAAAAGTTATGACAAGGAGACAGAGATAGAAGTTTGACACAGTTGAGAGTTTGGAAGCAGGAAACGTAGGCTGCTATTTGACAAAAGTATGAGTTTTCAAACAATGAAAGCAAACTGAAATAGAAAAAAAAGGGACTAAAAGTGGCTGGACACCATGAAAAAGTGTCTGTCAAAACAATTCAGAGTACTCTGGCTTTTATCAGCCTGATATTAGTGCAGGTGTCACACAGCTGTCTGAATATAATAAGACAGTCTCATACTTTCACAAAACCAGAGCAATTCCCTCTGACAGTATGATGACAGCTGAGGCTTTGATCTGACAACTGTCACTACGTGTGTTGCCACCAGAATGGCTGAGGGTTAAATGACATGCTGTCCATTTTCCACTCTTTGATCATCTGATTTGACGGCTTCCTGTTCCGCTTCGGCGGGAGAATAATCGGATGCGATAGAGAGGTGGCCTTTGTCTGCGTCTTACTGTGAGGAGGATGATGCTGGGGGGCTTCATCGGATACTCTGGGGGAAGCACGATCCTGCCGTGGTAAACCCCACCGTCGAAATCAGAATCTGGTGGCCCGCGTACGGAGAAGTGCCATTCAAAGAGGTTATCCTGCAAAAAGAGAAAAATGTCACATAAAACTAACATGTTCAACAGGAGACACCAAACCTGTGACTTCAAATGCCTGTCTGAGGTGAAAACACTGACAGTGACGAGTCCAGTGGAGCCACACAGCCTGCAGCTGCATGTTGTGAGAATGGTGAGCAGTTATTCCAGTTGGGCAGTATCCAACCAATACAGAAAGTAAAATTCTATTTCTTTGAACAATTCACTATAATCTTAAATTATGAATATCTACAATTGAACTTTACCCTCCCCCCTAACCCTGAGTGGGTCACTGCAGCAGAGAGCAGGTGAATTCTAACATCTTTTGTAGTGAGGATATCATTTTAAACACATAACTAAATTTAACAGACCACTTAAATTTAACAGACCACACAAATTATTTTAACTATCAGAGCTTTTTAACATTACATACCATAAATGTCACAACCACTGTTAAGCTGTTGGAGGCACACCAGGCTCTCCCTCACCTGATTTTGAAGCTGTTTGGGGTCGGGATCCTGGATTCTGCTTCACCTGATGAGGCTGTTGGTCTCTACCTTACCTGTCGCTGAAGTTGCAAGGCGCACATAGGTCTCTCTCATCTGTTGCTAACACTACTGGGGTCTCTCTCTCATCTGTCACCTATTCTTCCTGTCAATCACTGCCTTTAAAATAAAGTAGGATTGTTTCATCCTCATGGACCTCACTGTTGCCTTCTAAATCTTCCTGACTTGCTCTGACGTAACAAAGAAAATTATAGCTACTGTGCAGCGATGGGTCGGGTCCAGGCATTTTTAGGCAATTCTGAGCAACAAGCAGAAGAATTGGAAGACATTTAGGAATTTAGCAACACAATCTGTCTTTTGAATCAGCTGAGGCTTGAACTGACAACCTCTGAGACTAATAATCAATTTCTATCTCACTGAGCTAATTAGTCAGTGACAATTCATGTGTAGCTTCACAAATTGACTAAGCCAGACATGCGTCCATGCATGGAAAAGCAGATTTCAAACCACTGTAAAAAATTCAGTTATTGAAACAAAAATCTGAAAATACACATACATTACAATGTGGATTCTGCACCAGTTGAGGCTCGAATCCACAACCTCTGGAACCTAAGACGGTCATCTACCGCTCTGAGCTAATTGGCAAGTAGCAACTCAACCGTGGCTTCACAAATTGAGTAAGCCATTCACTGTTGTGTAGGAAAGCAGCCATCTGTGCATGGAAAGGCAGATTTGAAACCACTGTAAAAAATTTAGTTATTAAGACAAAAATCTGAAAATACACATATTGCATCTAGACAGCATGGAGATGTTGGTAATTTGTTTGTAACAATGATTGATTTGCTCCATAAGTGAAAAACTGATGTTTAAAAGTGCCATTTTTACATTGACTCCAGTTGTTCACATTAGAGCCAAATTCAAAATGCTGTCAAAAATTCAGTTTTTGAGACAAAATTCTGAAATTTGCCACACATCATCTACCATGACTCTAGAATTCTGTCATTTTTTTCATGAACATTGAAGATTTATTTAGCAAGAATTTGCATGTATGTTTACAGTATCGTTTACAGTCAAACATTTTGATGCACTGTAGGCTCAATTTGATAAATCAAAAATCTGAGAAATGTAGTTTTTGTAGGACAGTCTGAAGATGCTCTGTAGCAAGTTTGGTGTCAATTGAGCAAAAATTGTGGGAGGAGATAGGTTTAAGAAGTTTTAGAGTTTTTGAAAAAAAAAACAGAGTGATGAACTTCATAATTTTTAATAGGTTTAAATGTACAAAAGTTTCTTCAGTATTGGGGCTACAGTTTGATGAGAGTTGTGAAGTTGTAGCACGTATGGTTGATTTGTTTCAAAGTTTTGAACTTTAGACGCTTGCAGTCCACCATCAGGACTATTGGCTTGAGTTTACAGCTGAGGATATCTGGCATGAGATTGGACCTTTGTGCAAAGTTTGGTGAGTTTTCACCCATAGGAAGTATGATTTCCTTGGAAGAAGAAAGAAGAAAGAAGAAGAATACCTAGGATTACAACAGTGTCCTGGCAGCTTAGCTGCCTGGACCCTAATTATGGACCAGCAAAGATGTTTTTTTTTTAAATATCTGTTTTATTTTTACACCAAAATTGGCCTTAGAAAATAAATTATATCATGACGTGCATCCTATCATTTTTAAAAATAATTCTAAAAACATTATACGACAATTCCTTTGACAGTTGTTGACAGGTGGGGGCGGGGCCTGTTTGGACTACGGGCCAGAATTTTTTCCTTCACACATCAGGAGCAATATGTGGTTCAGCTCAAGGATGCTTGTAGGAACTTGGAATCAAACAGCCTGTGCAATTGCCAACTGGCACCAGAGCTTCACGTCCGCTGCACAATTATCTAAACCATTTTATTTGGAGGTTAAACTGAGTGGATTGCTTGTGTTTCTTAACCTACCTGAATTTTATTTTGTCATGCCACCAAGGTCCCATATCTAATTACTTTGGTGAATACAGTGTAATTATTGCAGACAGAAATTATGGACACTGTACTGTATACATATATAAGATCCAAGTTGTATGAAACCAGAATTTCCCCAATTAACAAAAGCCTACTTCTTGCATTCTCTGTTGGACTTTACAGGATGGGAAAGAGTTGCTGTGGTGATTTTTAACAAAGGTAATATAAATACTGACACTATAAAGGTTGTACAGTGCGGTGTTGTCCTGTGGTGAACTTACTTCCAGTGGCTGGGCGTGGTAGTGCTCTGTGGGGTCCCTCAGTTCAGCAGCCTCTTTCATCAGCCTCTTTACCGCTGGTCATTCAATGGAAACAAAGACACAAGAAAAATGAGGTTAGCCGCTTCAGGTTAAACACGGCTCACATCTTCTTTATGATCATTACAGCATACATTTTCAATATCCACTGCAATGTCTTGTGTGTGAAACCCTACAATTACACCCAAAAGTCTGCAGCAGTTTTACTGGCCAACATTCCTAATTTCCAGAAGCTGATGGTTGAAAATGTGCTGCTCCCCTGTGTAACAGGACATTAACACAGATAGACAGATGAGAAGAATATGCAGAGGGACAGGGCTCCATGTACTGGCAAGTCTCTGCTAAAAATCACACTGACTGTCACACTCATTCAGACAGCTAGGGTAAAAAGGCTCCTTCAAATGTGCAATCCAAAAATCTTGGTTTAAAACCACCTTTGGCACTTCTGTTTCTCCAAAACTATTCAACAAGACAGTCTCCCACTACGCCTTTACTGTTTGTTTTAGCGAGAAGTCTCCCCAGGTTTATTTTCTGTTTGAATTTGCTGTTCATGCAAACTCAACACTTACTCCATATTTATCTGTTGTCTCATTTAATTCAGAATCATGTATCCACAGCTTTAATTCCATTAATACAACAACAGAGACTCCTTCGGGCTTTTAATGTGAGGCATCTAAACAAAGTGCTGAGCTTCATTAATGGTAACATAACTCAGAATTAAAGATCAGCTACACAGAAATTATTAGAATTATTTAGGACATGACTGTGTTGTTGTACTGATAAATCCTTGCCTGATATCAGACAGAATTTTCAACACTTTACACAACATTTCAATCTTCAGTCTGACAGTGCGTCCACTCTGACTGATTCCTGTTGGGGAGGGGGATTCAATATTTCCTAACCAATTACTAGAGAAGGCTACACACGTCAATGATGTCCAACCCACCAAATCATAAAGAATGGAGTGATGAATAAGTGACTTTACATTTGTAATAAAACTTAGAGATGCATAACACACTGAATCAAGGCTACATAAAATGGAGGAGGTTGAATGCATAATACAATATGTCACCATCATCAATCAAACAGAAAAGGAGCTTCCACAAGTTTTTTCTTTGCATGGAGAGCAAAACAAGACTTATTTCTAAAATAAAAGCCAATCTTCACTATAAGCTGAGTAGCAATACATACGTTAAATAAAAGCTTGTCATCGAGTCAGTTATGGCCCACTGTCAGTGTGCAGTGGTGTATTTATCTGCAGACACTTCTGTGTTTGGGATGTTTATGGGCGTGTACCCCCACAGCGCTCAGGTGAGGTCCGGGCTTTATTAAAAGGTAGCACCAGGTGCCAGACCATAAGCAGCAGGTATCCAAGAGAGATTTGCATTGCAGAAAAAACACAAATATAGCAAGGCAAATGTGAAACAAGAGTGAATCTGGGGTTGGCTTTTCCTTTCACTCTTGCTGACTAACATGTTTACAAAGAGTTACTAACAATCCTTTAACAATACTGTGATAATACTGATAACTGTGATCATTTTGGTCAGGATGAATATCCCCCTTTCATGGTGTAAGTACATTTTGTGAGCATGTGCACACCTATCAGGGCCGAACCCATGGTAGTCAAATTAAAAGACTGCTTATGAGTTGCTTATTGAGGATGAGCAGATGACTAGCAGATGACAGCGGGAGTCATGATCCTGCTGCATGCTACAAACACAGCTGAACTTTTCACTCAAGGCAGAAATAAAGTAAACAAGTTTGTTTTTTTAAAGTTGTGTTTAAGGGGTCAATCTCTACCCATGGCAGCATTCTGTGAGTTTATGAGCAGACACAACATGCTCTCAAAATGAGACAGCAGAGAAACATCTGCTGGCATTAACCCTTGTGACATGACCCAGCCAACAACACACTCAGGCCCGCTGTGTTAATCTGAATACAAACTACCTCATCACTCTAGGAAGGATGGTTACACAAGTCCAGATGATGATGATGGTGATGATGATTGTAGGGGGGGTTTAATCACTGCTCTGGCAGTAAAGGACACAGAGACGCTCCTTGATGTAACGCTGACTACCAGGCTGCAGCTACACCAGACAGAGTACAGGAGGTGAGTCCTCACAGTGAGGGCATGTTAGAGTCCGTCTAAGGCAATGCCTTGGGTTGAACATCCAATCATGTTTTAACACAAGGTCATGAGTCACAACAACAGGAGTGATGTCACAGTCTCAGCCTCATGTTAACAAAGTGCTCATCGCAAGTTCAGGCGTTTTTGACTTATCGGACAGCAAGGTCAATTTGCTTGCTTTTGCCCTCTCATGGGCCGCTACAAAAGCTCCAGCTATCAACTATCAGCCGGCTGCAAGACGAAACAGCATGGGGCTGAAAATTGGAAAGTAATTGTGAAAAGGAAAGCGTAACTAAGAGGTATTCATGGAGGCAAAATTGGCTTGGAATCCAATCGAGTGCATCCTGCTAGGGTGTTGAGCTGGAAATGGAGACTGTGAAATGAACACGGGAGAAGAAGACGAAGGGCAGCAGCGGGGATGGGTGGGAGGGCAAATAACAGGGATGAAGGCAAGGCGAGCTGAGAGGATGTGCGGGCTGCAGGGCTGAGTGAAGCAGTGGAGCAAAGAGATGGCCTGACACCACACAGCTTTCAGGGCACGTGTTCTTTCTGATTCTGCCCGAGGACAGACACTCTTCAGTGAAGATCTGAACCAACCACAGTAATCTCACATTGGACACACAAGGAGAACGGGGGAAGAGTCTGTATGTGTGTGTATGTTTACAAGGCTTCCCCTGCCTCGTCCTGTTTACACCAGAGTGCAGGGGGTCATGCAGTGCTTGCAGTCTTACTCAAGTTCAAACTATTAAACTCCCTCTCCTGGGATTTATTTAACCCCTAAAGACTCATCTCAGTTCATCAAAATTACATATTTAGAAGTTTTTCCAAGAAAAAACATCCCTTCATGCCTTTAAGGAATACTACACTCTTCAAATGACCATTTGAATATCAATTACTCACTGCATGTTACGTTGAATTTGTGCATTTTTTTTTTTGCATGCTTCCACAGATCGTCAAAAAACTCAGAAAATTCTTGATGGATTGGCATAAAAGCAGTCAAACATCCATTTACAAATTCTTAGATAACTCATGCAGCATAATCCAAGTCTCATTTATCAAGTTGTGTGCTGAATACTTTCCAAACAGACACCTCTTTCTGATGGGGCATTGAACTGAAGTGAAACTTATCTATGCTCTTTTCAAAGCCAGACTTCACTAACAAAAACAATAATTTTACCTTGCTGAACACTGGAGCTGCTGGTCTACCGCTGCCATAGTCGGTATTTAGTTTGTGTTATTGTGTGACTTTAGTGAATCACACCTGATCCTTTATAATACCAAAGTCACACAATAACACAAACAAATTAACTGATCAAGGCAGTGGTGGACCAGCAGCTCCCATGTTCAACAAGGTAAAATTACTGTTTTTGTCTGTGGAGTCTGGCTTTGGAGAGAGCATTGATAAGTTTCACTTTATGTTTAGCTCCCTGTCAAAAAAGGAAGCACTGAGCATTAGACTGACTAAGTGAGACTTGGATTATACTGCACAGAATGTGCAGGAGTTTGTTGATAGATATTTTGATATAGTTCTGCTGTTGGTAAATATGGACCCCTATGACCTCAGTTCATCAAAAATGTTTTTAGTTTTTGGATTCTTTGCTCACTGTGGAAACATGCAAGACGTAACATGGGGTGAGTAATTCATGGTCATTTGGGGGGCTTAGAGATAACTACACCTTTGCCTCATTAAGTACTTACAGAACTATAAATATGCAACTGAGGTCCACCCCTTAGCCACTCACTTGCTACTCCAGCGTATCTGCTCAGCTTTGACTCTGCTTATCAAACACATAAACATCTGCTTGTAAACAGTAAAAGATAACATGAGCCTTCAGCTTGACAACATTATCTATAGCTAATAATGTGTTGCTGTTGTTAGATAAACCTTGTTCCCAATCGCCAGCTTTGACAGGTTGAGGTGAAAATGAAACTTAACTTGCAAATTACTGATTTGTAGATACACTGGGCTTCTCCACTGATAACCTGCAAGTTGACAGGATTGGTTCCTCAGGTTAAAAATAACTTTAACTTTATTCATCCCCAAGGCGGATGTAACAACCCTCGGGAAGCTTTAATCCATGTTCCTGAGACTGTCATTGGTACACCGCAGTTCCAAGGTGGAAAAATGCTTATTTAACTCATGATATGTCTTGTAGCATATCAAAACACCATATGGAGATGTTATCAAGGTCAAAAACTTGGATTTCACTGGAGAGGGTCTTTAAGACAAGTGGAGGCAGATGAGAAAATGATCCTGTATAAGTAGAAATTCAATCTTCATGCAGCAGCCTTGAGCATCTTGGCCCAAAACTGATCAAAATCCACCTCATGTTTTCACAGTTTTGCATTATATAAACCTTTCATCAACTGTATCCCACTCACACTTGAAAATGTTTTCTGAGATTTATAACAGGAAAGGAGCCACGATTTCTGCCATCGGTCTTAAATGCAAAATTCGTATACATCTAACAGCTGACAGAGATGTCCATTTTACTGAAAGACAACTACAAAACAAAAGGGGACCAGAGCTAAGCTACATTTTCATCAGAATGATAAAACAATCTGCTTGGGGGATGCTCTGCTTGAACATAATGGCATGTGCCTTTATTGTTGTGGGTTTGAATCCATCTTCTAGTGTCATCTGCTCTCATGGATGCATACATAATTCCACCTTCATCAATGACAATCTGTAGAGTTTTCTGAAAATGTTAAGCCTCAACAGAAACCCAAAATACGACAAAGCTGTTTGCCCATGCGGCACCGCACATAAGAGCCAACAAATTAAATAACAGACAGGAAGCTTAACTGTGCAGTGATCTGTGAACAGCTGAACATGCTGCTACAGTGTTCCACAGTGGGAGCTCCATCCATCACACGTACCAACATAACATTTCAATTCACAAATGCTGA